AAATAAAAATCAGTTGAGTTTTTATTTGAACAGAACTACACGATGAATATATCAATAAAATATATTAGTACGGACGATCATTAAACTAATCAAATCGACACAAAGATGTGTAATAATAATTATATAATATTATTAGAGTGGTGTAAGGTGGTTATGTTATTTGTAGTACAAAGAATAACAACAAATCAACTTCTATAGAGTCGAGATGAATTATTTTAATTTAAAAAATACATTTAAAACGTCGATCCATAATTTAATTATATCAAATATCATGCTATGATATTAAACAAACTAACCTTAATGTTTATTCGAAATCACAAAGTTATTATCTCATATTTATTACATCATATTTTAGTTATCACAACATAATATCTCATTGTGAGAATTAAATACATTGATGATAAGTATATAAATAATATCATAGTCAGGTAGGTATATACTTATATAAACGAATAACGATCGCAGTAACGAGCTTTAATTTATGCGTTGTAAGCTTATGTATACTTAGCACAATTAGTTGATATAATGGTTTCAATTTTATTACTCAACTCTTATTTTTAATTAACACCGTTTCAAAAATATTCAGAGCCATTATTTTATTACAACGTCAAATTAATATCGCATGATAAGACACGCGTCTCTCAAGCGCTTTATTGTTTTTTGGTTACATGAATTTTAAATAATATTTATACGTTTTCCTAAAAAAAAACGTTAACGAAAAAATTAAATACCTATACTCTTTTAAACAGACTTCTTTTAACGTTAAGTTGTTGGTTTATAAACAATATTATGACTACCTACAGTTGTATGACGACGAAATATAAGATTGCAATTAAATAACGTTAAACGAATTTATGAACATTTTGCATAATAATATAGAACAACAATAAGACGCGAGTGTCTCTCATCCGCGAACAACGGCTCATTAATAAAATATTTTCTTTTATATTATTATATATTATGCGCTATTCTAACATTGACAAAGGGCGAGGGAATTGATAAATTATTATTATGTCTGTAGAATAATACATTTTTTTCGGCTTTAACGCTGGGTTGGACTGCACTTTTTTTCGTTTTCGCAGTGTTGTATTAATTCGATTTCGTTCAGCAGACTTCACGGTCGTTTAACTTCGAGGCGGCAAACAAAGCATATTGTCACCCTGCGTGTGCGCCGCCGCTGTCGTTTCGATACCGAATTCTAATGCGAAATAAACGAAAAAATAAATAAATCGAATAATAATTGGTCACGGAGGCGTCGTATCGTACGGGTCGTTTACCGTCCGGCGTACATATTATTATGATTATAGATATATGTAGGTACGATTAGATAACAAGGTGGCGTCACGAAATGAGGAGACTGCGAGACGCGTAACGCAAAATACAACAAAAAGAACTTGTACATCAGAGCGAGATTATATTTTGGCTTAAAATGTTGCCAGTTAGAAGAGATATTTCGCATCCGAATTAAAAAAATAAAACACCCCACGAGGAAACGTTCGGCAACTACAACCCCGTCTCCATCGCTTTTCTACTGCTCGCTGTTGTTCGTCTTGCTGTCCGCTATACAATATTATTATACACTATGACATGTATACCCAACTACCCTCCCTAGCCTACCCACACTCACGTCCGAAACTACTATCAACGATGTCGTATCCCGTGCGCGTTCCATCATCGTTTTTCATTTTCCCTCCTGCAGCACCGATATAATGCGTACAGCTGTACACAGTTGTTGTAGTTAGGGTAGGTATACGTATATCTTTCTACGTCAAATCATAACAAGTTTCTACCGTAGTGTATGCGTTCATGCGGATCGTGAGCACATCAGCTAAGTCCCGCCCGCTGCCGCCGCCGCTTGGCCGATTCGCAGAATTCCGTTTTGATATTAATCTTGCATGTACTATTTTCTTGGCAATTATTTATTTAATTTTTTTTTTTTGGTTTTTTTGCTTGCTGTTATATGATTACATTAATTATTTGGGTTCTTTCTCATTTTTCGAGCTGCGTCTAATTTTGAAAACGTTCTTGGACACCTTTTGAATGATTTTTCAAATTCTTAAAATACCCATATGTATATATTATATTCATAATGCATAGTATATATTATATAGATTACGGGCAATGCGTGGGCTTAGAAACAAAAAGTGCAATTTCAAAATATAAAATTATCCAGGAGAGCCATTTCAAACTATTTTAAATTAAAACTGTCTTATCTAACCGGACCTACAATGATGGATATGAGCTTGAATTAGTACCTTTTGGTTCTGAGCCCAAGCATTTTATTTATTTATTTATTATGACGTATACAATCGTGCAAATTTGTGCCCTGTCAATTTGGTCCTGCCCAAACAATTTAACAGCGAATACAAACTGCAAATCATTTTTTGTGCAATAGTTTTTACTAAATTTATTATTATTAATAATTATATAATATTGATGGAAAAAAAACAAAAACAAATTGTTAATTTAATAATAATTATTATACTTTTAGTACCTACATGGAGTTTCTTAAAAAAATCACTTAAAACAACGTTTCAACACGCAACTGTTGTCGTTGTTATTGAGAAACAAATTGATAATAATACTCACTGCGGGACGTATAATATACAAATAGTTGTGTAACAGCTTATAAAACGCTTTGGCGACGAGATTTTTTCGACAATACCTCTTATTATTATAGATGCAAGGCGCTTGTGACCTAAATGGTAACTGAACGCATTAAAACTATAAAAAAAAATTTTACTACAAAGATAGAAACAAATAAATACATATTTCTAGGGACATAACAAAAAAAATATTGTATATAACACGTCTTGAGACCTGCACGCCACACTGCACGCTGGCCGCGGTGTACAATTACTTAAGAGTTACTGAGCAAACGTAACATTTGGTGAACGGTTGATGACTTCGAAAATAAAGTGATGCCATATATAATTAGCTATGGTTTATTAGCAATTACTATAAAAAGTAAAAGAGTAATTTTTTTTGCTGCAACTTTGTTATGGGTTCAGTATTATATTTGTGTGCGCCAGTACCTAAGTACCTACAACGATATCGTAAAGTTGTATGATTAAAATAATTAATTAAAAATTAAATTGTTTATCAAACCAAAACTTTGATTCGAGCTGCTGGAAATTTTCATGCTAGCAATTGAATAATAAGTACCTGTAGTTTGTATTTCAAACCCACTCTGCACTCCATTGTAGTCTGATACCTCGATACGAATTTATGATAATGATGCAGGGTTGATAAAGTCACTTTGGTTCCAAGAGCCTTAGAAGTTTTGATGGTCACCCTTCGATTAAAATGAATATTAAATTTAAGTCGGGTCCTTATTTGTGGAGTGTGTATTCGTGGACAAAATTTAAAATACTTAACATTAAACAAGTTTCAATAATATTTCATAATATATTGGTGTTTTTTTTTAAACTGTTTGAGGGGATCATTTATGTATTTTTTTGTTCAAGTCATCATACACCTACCTTAGAGAAGGACCAGCCTTACAGGTCCCTTCCACATGCCTGTATTTATATTTCGGACCATTTTAATATTTAGCTACTCACTAAAAAAAATAAGTTTTCTTAGTTTTTAATTAATATTTTACACCTCAATAGTCCCAGTTGACAGTATCTTTCAGTAATACTAATTTAGCATAATATTAGCCTAGGTACTGATAATAAAATTACGTAGGTAATATTATAGGGCCTGTAGGTGATGAATCGGTATAGGAAAACTGTGTTAATAGAGTATTACAAATTATAATGCCTAATAAGTACGCGTAGGTACGGTGAACATTAATATTTCAATTTTTGTTTTTTTTCTTTTTTAATTTTGGCATACTGCAGATACAACATACTTAGGTAGCTGCACCAGTGAATTGAGCTTTTAAAACATACTTCCATTGACAATATTACATTGTTACACTTTATCACCATTTACAGCATTCGATGATGTTGCTTTTTTTCGGAAAACATTACAGCTCGTTAAACTATTACTGTAGTAAGCTGTACTAACGAGCAACGACTGAGAAAATATTAACGAACTATTGCCCAATTTCACGTTAATGATAATCTAATAATGAACCGAGTTATAAGTATTTTAAAGGGTGACAGCGAATGTGCGGTTTAATACGTTTAAATAATTTTAATCTTCTCTGCAGGATTGTATAAACTTTCAAACAGGCAACAGCCAGTCACTACCAAAAAATTAAAGCAACATTCACTCTGAAAGAAAACAGTAAAAGCATTTATAAATAACTATTATCATTGAGTTAATCAGAACTTATTATTGTTCCACAAAATTATTTTCATGGTATAGGTAAAGGATATCATTTGATATAGAATATTTATTATTTTATATTGAAATTAAAAAAAAAACAAGTCAAAACTACTATATTTTTTTTAAATACTTGTACCTACCTATTATAACTATCATAACTAATGTGGTTGTAATCGGTTCATTTATTAAATTTTCAACAACTTTTTGACTACCACTTAACTTTTATTAAGTACAACATATTATGATGTAGTGACATACCATAATAAAATATTATCCATGTCGCGTACCTAATATATTTACTGTCTCGGATCAGCTATAATGGTTGCATAACGTTTGTATATATTTTAAAAAACCAATGTTTACATGAATGTAGGAAAAATATTATGAGTGCATGTAAAGAGAAAACAAGAATAAAAAATGGTTCATCTCCAGTTTCAGAAAAACGTTACATTAATGTAATGCACCAACTATTGACAACCGTTAATAATATTATTCAAATTTCTGTAGTAAAACTTTCACATTTTGTGAGCCTAATTTTAGATATTGACTGGAAAAAACAAACCAATTGCGTTAAATGTTGAACGGTCATATTTTTGTAGTTATACGTACCCAATATCTTATAGATCAATTAGGTAGAATTTAAAATATGATTAGAAAATAAATATTTATTCCATAAATTATAGTTATAGCAAATCGTTTATTTAAATAAATAAAATCTTTTGCAATTTGTATACATGACATAATAATGATGTTTATGTTCTTTATTATTAAATGAAGGTACATACATAGGTAAATAATATGATAATATAGTATAACAAAATATATTAAAATCAATTTCTATGCTAATGAGTAGGTGCCTATTTACCTACTGACTAGCATTACCCTGAATATCACACTGTGTGAATTATTCACACATAATAAAATATAGTTTCTCAGAAGGTATCATATTTTATATGAGGTATAAAATATGTCAAAATATATCGGTTCTCGCCAGGAATATCAATAAAAAAAATAACTTGTCAATACAACACGATGATCGTTTTCGAAAGTTCACCATGAATAATTTGGTCGATCGTGAAACCAAAGCTGTACAATAAACACGATTATAATACACAATATTATGCACATTATGCATCACACAAAGCAGTTCACAGGACACGTCTACTCATTTACATTGTTCATCTTCGTGGCTTATTAAATAATAATAATAGAAATTATTAACAGCGACGAGCAATACAATTACTAATTGTTTCAATATTGACTGTGGGTACAACAATTATTTATTTATTTTAAGCCATATATACCTACTCTAAAGTCACAGTAGTTTATTACTTCACTCTTTGGGTAGGTAATTTATTACTGCGCTGTATAAATTCATATAATGCAATAGGAGCCGTCGTACACTTAACAAAATAAATAGACGTTTTAATTAATGAAAACAACGAGACTAATGTACGTCATTAACTTCTTTATTATACGCGCGGAGAGTTTCTCTGCATTACATACGAATAGAGCGCCTCCAATATTTTAACCAGTATTACAGCAGTGTTACAATTAGTTACATACCCAGTCTTAACACTATAACATTAACATACTATAGTCATAGGTGCAATTAAGGAGGGAAGCTTGTGAGGGCTTCGGCAACCAGTTGTATCAGTAGCACTCGCCGTTTTTTAACCATATTTTTGTTTGAAATATCAGTTATCAGAGTTTGTGCTGCTGATGCAATTCTAAGCCTCCCAGAAAAATGTCTCTAGTTGCACCTATGACGATCGTCGAAATCACTTATACAAGCATTCAGATAACTACGGAAAGATTATGTAGCAAAACTATTAGAAACGTATAATAAGATAACAAATATAAAAAAATGATACAACTAGTTGAGTCTGTATCGTTATTTTATTTGAACGACCTGCGATCGTATCCGGTGCAGTTAAAAGCATAACGCACACAATATTATAATATCGATGACTGGTGTACCGAATGGCCTGAAGGGTAGGGGAGAGTAGTACGTTGTGGATCAACACTCGAGATCTAAATACGATACCAATGACCTGGGCACGGGTAATTGCGCGATGCCGTGCGGTAGATTGAAGTTTTGGTGCAACGCTTTGCGCACGGCGCACCTGGCCAGGTGCAGCAATGTCGGCGTCACCGGAACGACTTTGACGACACTGCTGACACCACCGCCGGCGCTGTCACATTCGTCATAATCATCGCGGCTGCCATACCCGCCGCCACTGCCGTCCTTGTCACCGCTGACACTGCCGTGTCCGCCACCCTCGCAGGCGACAGCTCTGAGCAGCAGTTCCAGGCATGACTGGACGCGATCGGGGAACGGCGGGCCACGGTCCTGGTCGGCGCAACGGCGGCGTAAGTACGCGATGGCCGCGCGCACTGACCGCTCGTCTGGGCCGTACCGCAACAGCATGGCCACAGCAGCCAGGTCTCCCGTGGCCGTGGCCACCATCACGGGAGCCGCCCGGTACGACCGCATCCAGACGTCCTGCATTCGGCGGCCGTCGAGTAGGAGTCTAGCGCGCGTCGCCCGGTCCAGATAGAACGCCAGCGCCGTCCGGTTGTCGGCGACGGTCGCCCCGAAGTCCGTCCACCGGCCACTGATCATGCGCGCCACTTTGCTGCCCACCACGGCGCCCTCGAAAAGCTTTTCCAACGTTTTCTCGCACCTGCCATGACACATAAAATAATAATAGTAATAATAATACGTTTTTCCGTTATAACGGTCGTAATGAACATAAACATGATATAATGATATTCGTATAACTACACTCGTGGCTTAGATTTAAATGCAAATGCATAATTTTGTATACATTTGACTTGAAATCACTCTGGTCAGAGATCTATATGTATATAAGGTTCATGATTGTTTATGAATATTAATACTAATAATAATTCTTGTATGGATTAAATAATATTATGGTATTAGCATATACCTATTTTTATGCAAACGTTCATCACTGCATTTCTTTTTTGCATATTCCGAATTACAACACATTAAATGCATATTTCTGCATAATAGCAACATATAAAGTTGCATTCGTCGTAAACATTCGAGGAAACAGTTAAAACTATATTACCTACTGAACTTGCGCGCCTTAATGGAAGACCGTGCTTCGTGATACTCGTAACTTAAAATCTTCAATGTAGAACAAAATAAATATAAACAATTTTTTTAATTATTTTAAACATCATATAATACCCTATATTTTGTATTTTTTAGAATATAAATCTTGGACCATTATTATTCATATTGAAGCGGTGGAAACTCCCCTATATTATTATTTTTTTTTTTTTTGCTATATTTTAAAATATTACCTAATATGTGGTATAATACTTTTACACTTTTTTATCTCGCGTACACATTATAGTGTACATTGTATGTCCACCTATAAACATGAAGTAATGTAGTTGGTTTATCGGAATAATTATCAATAAATTATATTGTATTTGGCAGAATAAAAAATATTATAACAGTACCATTAATAATACTAGGGACCGATGACTGCGAGACATGACTTTAATTGTAGTTTATTTCCTTGAAAATCTATACAGCACACTATAATAAAAGTACCACATATCATTACAGAGGAATTATTGTCACAGGTTACATTGACATATCAGCATTTATATTATTTTGTTAGGGCAATTAATCGAGGGCAAAGTGCAATTATCTTAAGTTTTGCAACGTAGTAAAATCATGTGTACTTACATCAGTTGTGTTTTGGGTAGGAGCAGAGAAAGGGTTAACACGTAAATTATCAATAGCTTACGTATTAAGCAGTACCTATGATAGTACCAATAATAATAATTAGGGTCGGATGACTGTAGTGGGACATGACTTGTAGCGGATTACCGCGAAAATCTATACAGTACACTATATAGATTCCACGTATTATTATTGTCATAAGGTTATATTATTTAACACGTCTGCATTTCTGTTATTATTTTGTTAGGCCAAAGTGCAATGCGTGTGAGTTGTTAACCGTACAAAATCATGTGCACTTACATAAGTTGTGTTTTGGGTTGAAGTAGAGAAAGGGTTAACACGCCGTTGCTGTTATTTCACATCCTATATTATATGCATTTTTATGGCTTTGCACTCGGCCTGGGCGTAATACGCATAATGCGCACGTACCACAACAATAATAAAAATATTCGAAGTTATCATATTCGTATAATATTATGATATAAGTCGTAACACCGACCGCGACGACCCGTAACGGGTGTTGGGCCAGTGGGTCAATAGGTGATCGTCCGGTGGTCATGAGTCAAGACCGGGTTCTGATTTTTAACTCGATTGGCATCATCGCGGCGCCAATCGAAAATGACCAATTTCTTCGAAGTAATATTGTAACTAATTACGCGTTTATAATATCGTTATTATATTATCACGCGCTAGTTTCCGCAAGTACCAATCCTACACTGCAATAGCTATTCCATGCAAACGACTTGGAACAAAACCACAAAAATCGCTTTATGTATTTCTTTATTATTATTATCGTCTGTTTCGCGGGTACGCATGTGCTGTAAGACAGGATAACTACGTTCGAATAAATCTTTAGTATATCATTATATTATGGATCAAATCCGAAAGCCTAGTGGCTAGTGTATGTAATCAATAAAAATTCTCCCAGGCCAGGTTATGATCTGTTTGATTGAAAAAATCGATTAAAATAGTGTATTATCGGCAATGAGTATATTATATTGTTTGCAAATTAATAATTACTAAAAACAATAACATTCTCTGATTTTTATATCATCATAAAAAAAAAGAAATTAAACATGAATCAACAGATTTAATTTATGTATCAGGTAGTCGTTTTGCAAATCTGGTAAAATAAAATTAAAACTAATAGAAAATAAGCAATAGACCAATAAACAAAACGAAAAGTAAATATTAAAAACTAAAAAGTGAAACCCAATATCTCAAATTCTAAGTATTTTACCGTTCAGTAGTTCGTTGGTATAATTTGGTGCATAGGATATAGCCGATACAGGAAGAACAATAACAAAGTAATTGATTCCAAACCAACATCACTAGAACATAACAGATAAATATAGATATTCTTTATTATACAATTTTGTAAAAATTATACATGATGAACAAAATTTAGTACATTTATAATTTTGTTAATCATGTAGGTATTTTTAAAGTTGTAATAACACAACTAAAAATAAATAATAAAAAATCACTTTTGATACGAGGATATTCAAGGAAACTAAAATTAAAATAGGACATTGACATTCATTAGCTATGTAAAATATTAATATATTGCACTGTTATAATATATTAATGAAATTAATTTATGTAAAATGCTTAACTAAGTGTTACCAATCCCATACGTGGTAGACAAATGCAGTTATTAAAAAATCATTAACACACTTTACAAATGTAAAAAAAATAAAATTCAATACATGGATAATACAGGTACCTACCACATAAAAGTTAACTAACCAATAAGAAATCTTTAGAATGCGTAACTAATGAAGTTACTAAAAAAAACATCCATAAAAAAATTTAAGGTATGGTTTAAAATTAAATGTAAGTATATATTTTTTTTTTTTAGTTTTCAACATAATAAACGTAATGATACTAAAAGCAATGCGCAAGTGATACTCGTAAACTAATCATTGTAATCAACTTTTACTTAAATTAAAATAACTCTTATGGCGTTAGTTCAAAAATATAAAATTAAAAATTAAAATACATCTAAATTAATACCTATACTCTATAGTATACCTATTAGATAATGAAAAGTAGGTATATTATGACGTTTTATATCATGATAATATATAAATACAACAACACAGAGCTCAACTGGTCAAATATAATTATACAATTAAACTACTTACAATTTTAAATAACTGTTAATAAGAATTGAGAACAATTGACAACATTTTTCACATAATTACTTATTACTCGTAAATTATTTTTCTTAACCAGAATCTAATATAAAGTCTGAATTTAGTTTTGTAAAACAAAAAATTATACCAAAGTATTTGTGCTTAACGGATATTTCGTAATCAAAATCCATAAAAATCAAGTACAATAATAATTGAATATCAAATATAGCCGACCCAACACTCGTAGGTATATAATAGTGTGTACCCACATTATGTGGTTTTCATAATTTTAATGTAATCTAAGCTAACCATTGTGATTGTGTACAAACAAAGTTACAGTTATAAGCAGACCTAACTATGGGATATAATATTATGGAATATAATACCTATATAGTTTTTTGATGATTATCGTTTTCAAGGATTTCGCTTTCTTGAATGTATCTAATAATATCTATACTTCGTTAGTCTTAACGCAGGATGAATAGCAAAGTTGAATTTTATCATAAATCCAAGGATACAGTTCGTTAAGTATGTTCACATTTTTTTTAAATCCATTAAACCTGAGTATAGGTATATGAATGTTCTTAATACTTAGGATTAGCCTCTAAACACGAGTATACATTTTATTTCGAATGTATCAGACAAGAAACTTGTGCTATAATATTAATAATGTTAGTAAAATGCATTCAAATGATACAATAAGTACCACCTACACTACCAAGGATCTAAATATTTTTGTCATAAACACAAACGCTAACTAATTATAGGTATTTTACTTCCAGACTACCTGAAAGTTAAAAACTAGTGAAAATAGTATAAATTATGTACAATACTTGCAAAAATTGTTTTTTTTTTTTTAATGATAATACAAAAATATTTTGTGATAATTTATTATAGTACTTACACAAAAATTTGCTAAACATTATTTGGCCAACTACCATGACTATCAATGCTGTATAAGTTTAATAACTTCTTAATAATACTCGACAAATTATTTTATTGTCATTTTATACGTACAATTATGTTTATAATGTACAATATATATATATGCATTACACAAACATTTTATATTTATAGTAATAAATAATAACCAGTAGGCAATAACCGGTAACCAATAAACTAGGATGAATAAGGCGCTTGTATATTAAAATTAAAATTGACCTATTTGACTTCTACGCAATTTAAATAAAACATTCATATACAAGACGTTAAGTTTTTAACCGAATGGGAACGAAAGTAAGACTAAAAATACTGTAACATTAATAGTTCCGAGAAATTGTAGGTCATAATATTATTATTATTATTATTATTATAAATGCACTTCCGGACCATGAGCTACGCGGTACCTACATAGAATTACAACTACAGACATCGACACGGTCTTCTGGCGTTTCGTTAAAGTGTTTGTCTTGGACATGTGTCAACTCGCACTCTTCCACTTTTAAAAAATATTATCCTACACGATTTTTAAGCCCCATATATTCCATTTACCATGAAAGCATTGAAATAAACATTCGTAATTAACGGACATTTGAATATAAATAAAATATACTATAGGTAAATTGTAATTTTTTTTTTGGCACACTTATATACATATGTGTGTTATTGACAATGATGTACAGCAGGCACCTACATATTATTATTAGCATATATTGACGTAAGAAAAATCACACTTCATACTCGACATTAATCAGTAATACCTATAACATTCAAGTCCCATATAGATCAAAATGTATGAAAAAATAACTCATCTTCAACTACCTACCTGTAAGCATTCTGACAGCTCCTATCAAACTTTCGTAAAAAAGAAACGTTTGGCAAT